TTGGCCACCCCTGCATATGCCGTCAGGAGAATGACCCTTCTATATGCCGCCAGGAGATCTGGCCACGCCATAAGGAGGAAGCTTAGGAAACGCAAGGGAGCTCGTTCACGAATTCATTTTTTATTCCCACTCCATACCATTTGTAACACGTTGACAATATCGCGTGTTTCGGCCTTTTTGGGTGAATGGAACTAGAGCGATTTTGTGAGCGCAATCGCCTAAGTTTTGACTGGTGAATACAGAAAACCTTGATGGTGTGAGGAATTCAACAATGTCTATTTGAAGTTGGTGAAGTTTCTACAAGGGAAGGATACCAGGTCGAAGTGGCCATTTGTAACGAGACATACACCACTAGATGTGTTTTTGGACGCTGATCTCGAATCTGCTCTCCAAATCTGCGAAACGATTCTCTGAACGTAGTTATGAAGCGAGATAGTGCAGTGGCAGCGGCCCGGCCGACGAACAAGAGGTCGTGAGATCGAGTTCTTGGCGAGTTCTCACTTTTGCTTTTCTTGTGAACGTTGTTTAAGGGACTCTTATCCATGCTAAGTTATCAGCGATTGCCTATAGCACAAGTAAACAGAGCTGGCGAAGAGCTTCGAGCACTGTGCGCGTCATTTGCAAGTGACCGCCTCTGACACCCGTAGCGCACGCGTAAGGCAATTTCGTGCCAAGCAGATGCGATATTCGTGTTCAGCGCGTCGAAACACCCCTTTCAACAACATTTGGTCCAAATCTAAAATTTTGACTTGAAGTCGAAAATGTGGGCAGTCATCTATCCATCAACCCACTGTCAGAGCCTGATCGTGGGATTGAATTAAACTTTCAGTCATTATTGTGAAAGAGATATAGTTGCCTGCTCTACTTGCTCGTGCCATCCGAAGATTAATATGATATTTTTTCATGTACACGCTCGCTGCCCAGGAGGAGCAGGAGGGTAGTGGCTGGGGCTAGGGATAACACCTACGACTCATTGTAGACCGAGTTTCGAAATTGGGTCCAAATGTCAGCTTTCTAGAATTAAGCCTTCAAAGATAGTTTGGTCCGTTGAGCAAGCATCTCCCATTTGTTTAGCCCATCGTCGGATATACGTCACTTCCGTGGCGTAGAAACACCCCGGCCGAAACATTACGAAAAAAGTGGAATGCGTTAAACAACCCCTCTAAACATGCGTTAGCTTTGGACGCAGTGAAAATTTCAACACTGAATAATTTTTTATATTTAAATTAGACCTAATTACAAAAAGCAAAAAATCCATGCCCAGCAAGATCCCATCCATGGTCTTACCACTGGAAGCCGCCAACACTACCACTCGGCCAAGCCGCCGCTGGAAGCCGAGCTCTGCCGGAGTCTCTTACAGTGGGCTTTCATTCGAAACAACCTCCGTAACACTTTTCAGAG